CCCAAAACTATAATGCAACTGAAGAAAACATAGGGCAAATGCTTCAGGACATTGGTCTAAGCAAACATTTTATGGCTAAGACGCAAAAGCACAGCCAACAAAGACAAAAACAGACAAATGGGACTAGATCAAAACTGAAAAGCATCTGCACAGCAAAAGAAACAACGGAGTGAAAAGATACCCTATAGAATAAGAAAAAAATAGTTGACTCTTATACAACATAGGTTTGGACTGTGCAGGGTCTACTTATACACAGACTTTTTTCATCCAAATGTAGATGGAAAATACAGTATTCAGAGGATGCGAAATTTACCTATATGAAGGGCTGACTGTGGGATTTGAGTATGTGCATTCAGTTATACCTGGGGGTCCTGGAAGCAATCCCCTGAATGTACCAAGGGATGACTGCCTTTGTATTTGCCAAAGAACTAGCATACAGAACATACAAGGAACTCAACAGCAAAAAACCCAAATAATCCCATTCAACAGTGGGCAAAGCAGCCAGGTGCAGTGGTGCCCACTGATAATCCCAGTTACTCAAGAGCTGAGGGGGGAGGACTACTTGAGGCTAGGAGTTCCAGGCCAGATTAAGTAACACAGCAAGATCCCATGTCTAAAATTAATTAAAACTAAAAAATAAAACTAGGCAACATCATTTTTTAAAAATTAGGCAAAGGGCTGGGGGCACTGGCTCACACCTGTAATCCTAGCACTCTGGGAGGCTGAGGCAGGTAGATCACTTGAGCTCTGGAGTTCCAGACCAGCCTGAACAAAAACAAGACCCTGTCTCTACTAAAACACATCCAGGTGTTACAGCGGACACCTACAGACTCAGCCACTCAGGAGATTAAAGCAGGATGATCACTTGAACCTGTTAAGTTTGAGGTTGCTGTGAGCTATGACACCACAGCACTCTACCCAGGGTGACAGAGTAAGACTCTGTCTCAAAAAATAATAATAACTGAGGCGGTGCCCATAGCTCAGTGGGTAGGGTACTGGCCACATACACCAAGGCAGGTAGGTTTGAACCTGGCCTAGGCCTGCTAAACAACAACTGTGACAAAAAAACAGCTGAGCATGGGCAGTGCCTGTGGCTCAGTGAATGGGGTGCTGGCCCCATATACTGAGCGTGGTGGATTTGAACCTGGCCCTGGCCAAACTGCAACAGAAAAATATCCGGGCATTGTGGCGGGTGCCTGTAGTCCCAGCTACTCAGGAGGCTGAGGCAAGAGAATCACCAAGCCCAGGAGTTGGGAGGTTGCTGTGAGCTGTGATGCTATAGCACTCTACCAAGGGTGACAAGGTGAGACTCTGCCTCTAAAAAAGAAAAAAAAAATGAGCAAAGAAACTGAATAAATACACATCAAAAGAAGACATACAAATAAATGGCCAACATATAAAAAAAAAGCTCAACATCACTAATCATCAGGAAAATGTATAACCACAACGAGGTGTCTTACCCCAGTTAAAATGGCTATTATCAAAAAGACAAAATAACTACTGGTAAGGATGCAGAGAAAAAGAAACTCTTATTACACTGTTATATTCACTGTGGGAATATAAATTAGTATAGCCATTATGGAAAACAGTATGGAGACTTCCAGAAAAAAACTGAAAATCCCACTACTGGGCATTCTATTCATAAGAAAGGAAATCAGTGTATCCAAGTGATACCTGCACTCCTATATTCATCGCAGCACTATTCACAACAGCCAAGATATGGAATCAACCGAAGTGTCCATCAGTGGATAAACGGATAAAGAAAAACATGGTCCAGGCAGTCTCGGGTTACAAAGGAGATAGGCTCTGAAGGTTGGTTCTTTTTTCCCCCAGATATTATGAGGGTACAAAAAAATCAGATTACAGTGTTTGCATTTGTTAGGTAAGGTCCTTGTTCTGTACGTTTGTTCTTGAATGTTTATGTAAGTTGGAACAGGTACATTTACTTATTACCATTAGTAAGTGTGAGTTGTACACAAGTCAGATGCTTATACCTCAGGAACTGCCTATTTCTATACACACATCAGAGTATTATTCAGCTACAAAAAAAGAGAGAAATTCTGTCATTCCTGACAAGGATGAGCCTGGAGGACATTATTGTTAATAGTGGGGTTTTAACGGCCAAAGGGCTTGTTTGCCCCTAGGGCAGTGGTTCTCATCCTATAGGTCCCCACACACAGGAACTGTATTGAAGGGCCGAGGCATTAGGAAGGTTGAGAAACACTGCCCTAGGGGAAGGTGGCCCTGATGGTCTCTCTTGTCACCCAACCCTACACAGAAGTGAACCCAGACCCCCACCTTGAGAGCTCTCAGCCCTGGAAAAATGTTCTAGGTTCCCCCAGTGGCTGTGCTGTTCAGAGAGAAGGCGGAGGAAGAAAATGGACGCATTCAGGCACCAACTTGCACAAGTGCCACTTGAAATAAAACCCTTTCCCCTTGTCTCAAAGGTTCAACTGTCTTACTTGTCATCTGCCCTTGGTGACCTATCTTTAGGTCAAGAGGTAGCTTTCAGAGGCCATTAGTAAATCATCTCACTTCTATCTGTCCATCTACCTTCAGGTCAAGGGGTAGCTTTCAGAAGCTATTAGTAAATCTTCTCACTTCTATCTCTCCTTTCATCTTAACAGTCAATAACTACAGTGTACTCTTGTTTGGGTTCTGTTTTTTTCTTAATCCATTAAAGAAAGCCATATAAAAAGCCAGGTAAATGGAAGGCTGAATCACTCCTCTAAAGTTACCCTATAACCTTAAATAAATCCCCTTTAAACTCTCTAAGCTTCATCTTCTTCACTATATAGCAGAAATAATGCCAACTGGTAGAGGTGTGAAGATTAAACACTGCAGGCAGAATGTCTGGCTTGTTATTTGCAAAAAAATGGCAACTTTATCCAACCTCAGCAAGAACAAAAACAAGAAACTGCCTCTACCAAAATGGAAAAATTATCTAGGCATGGAGGCGTAGGCCCATAGTCCCAGTTACTTTGAAGGTTGAGGCAGGAGGATCACTTGAGCCCAGGAGTTTGAGGTTGCTGTGAGCTATGAAAATGCCATGGCGCTATAGGCAACAGAACGAGACCCTGTCTCAAAAAAAGAAAACAAAGGAAAGAAAAGAAAAGGGTGGGGCAGCACCCATAGCTCAGTGGAGAGGGCTCCAGCCATGTACACTGGGGCTGGCGGGTTCAAACTCTGCCAGGCTAGCTAAAACAACAATATGATAACTGCAACAAAAAATAGCCGGGCATTTTAGTGGACACCTATAGTCCCAGCTACTTGGGAGGCTGAAGCAAGAGAATTGCTTAAGCCCCAGAGGTGGTTGAGGTTGCTGTGAGCTGTGACACCACAGCACCTATCCAGGACAACAGCTTGAGACTCTGTCTCAAAAAAAAAAAAAAAAAAAGAAAGAAACTTAGAACTCATTGTTAAAACAATTCTACCAAAGTTCAGAAGAACTCAATTCTTCCCTCCTTCTTTAAGATTTTAAACAGTGGCTCAGTGCCTGTAGCTCAAGTGGCTAAGGCGCCAGCCACATACACCTAAGGTGGTGGGTTCGAATACAGCCTGGGCCCACCAAACAACAATGACAGTTGCAACCAAAAAATAGCTGGGCATTGTGGCAGGCGTCTGTGGTCCCAGCTACTTGGGAGGCTGAGGCAGGAGACTCTCTTGAGCCCAGGAGTTGGAGGTTGCTATGTGCTGTGATGCCACAGCACTCTACCCAGGGGGATAGCTTGAGGCTGTCTTAAAAAAAAAAAAAAAAAGATTTTTAAACAGTATAATAATATCTTTCTTTCTCTTCTGCCCACAAAACAATCACAAATGCATTTTAATGAGAATTCCTCTCTCCACTTAAAATGAATTATAACATGCATGTTCCATTCAATCAAACTTAGAGGTACACATATTAGGGAAGATGGGGTAATTTACATATTAACAAATTAAATAAATCATCTAATTGTCTATAAATGTGAAGATACAAATTTTAGATTGTTAAAATAAGTATTTGCGTCCAACAAAAAAGTATTTGCGTCAGTATCTTGCTCTAATAAGCACCATGAACATATATGGGCATCAGACATAGACACTTGAAAAATACAATACAAAATGTATCCTCCAAACTGTAATGATGGGTCACTTTTCACCTACAATATAAATTAGGCCAAAAACTAACTGCTTATTAGCAAGAAGCAATTGTTCCTAAGTAACTGTCCCTACCACAAACATTTTAATCATATACACCTACCAATAAAATATCTTAACTTCCTCTAAAAGACCTGGGCTCAAAGAGATTACGCAGAGGTAATCTCTGATAGAGTCAAAAGGTGATCCTGTGGTTGCCAGGTCATAAAAAAGTATATGACATCTTTTATATAAGAACTCGTCTGGTCAGGCGTGATGGCTCGCACCTGTAATCCCAGCACTCTAGGAGGCCAAGGCAGGTAGATTGCTTGAGCTCAGGAGTTCAAGAGCAGCCTGAAGACCCTGTCTCTACTAAAAATAGAAAAACTGCCCGGCATGGTGGCTCATGCCTATAATCTAGCACTGTGAGAGGCTGAGGCAGGTAGATTGCTTGAGCCCAGGAGTTTGAGACCACCCTGAGCAAAAGGGAGACCCTGTTTCTAAAAATAGCCAGGCCTTGTGGCAGGTGCCTATATTCCCAGCTACTTGGGAGGCTGAGGCAAGACAATCAGCTGAGCCCAAGAGTTTGAGGCTGCTGCGAGCTATGACTTCATAGCACTCTACTGAGGGTGACAAAGTGAGATTCTGTCTCCAAAAAATATAAAAGAACTTATGTTACTCATATAATCTAGAGTTGGCAGTTTCTCTTCATTTGTACACATGCACCCTAAATACATATGACTCATACCCTAAATACATATGACTTATAGAAAGAAATAGCCTATCTTCTTAACCAATTGTAATAAAGGCAGTTTTAAGAACGCACATTTCTGATCCATATTATCAATTGACTTAAAAATACATTACCTGGAAAATATAATTACCTGATAGCAGTCTCCTTTAAGATTGTCTAAGACATCACCACAAGTTTTTCGCATGTATTTCTTACATCCATCAATCACCATTTGGTCAATGTTCAAAACAGGTTAAGGACAATCTGGGTGTATCAAAGAATTCTGAAATCAGCTCAGTGCCCATAGCTCAGTGGTTAGGGCCCCAGACACATTATCTGGGCTGGCGGGTTCAAACCCAGCCTGGGCCTGCTAAACAACAGTAACAACTGCAACAAAAAAATAGCCAGGTGTTGTGGTGGGCACCTGTAGTCCTAGCTACTTGGGAAGCTGAGGCAAGAGAATCACTTAAGCCCAGGAGTTTGAGGTTGCTGTGAGCTGTGATACCATAGCACTCTACCAAGGGCAACATAGTAAGACTCTGTCCTGAATCTCACTCGGCTGCCCAGGATAGAGTGTTGTGCCCTCAGCATAGCTCACAACAATCTTGAACTCCTGGGTTCAAGCTATCCTCTTGACTCAGCCTCCCAAGCAGCTGGACTACAGGCACCTACCATGACTCCTGGCTAATTTTTTTCTATTTTTAGTAGAGACACAGTCTTGGTCTTGCTCCAGCTGGTCTCAAACTCCTGAGCTCAAGCAATCCTCTCACCTTGGCCTCCCAGGATATTGAGATTACAGGTGTGAGCTACTGCACCTGGCCTGAATAATAATACTTTTAACAAACATAAAAGTTTTGTAATACTAATTTGGGTGTCACAAGTTTAAAAAATGATGAAGCAGTTATTTCTTTTTTTTTTTTTTGCAATTTTTGGCCAGGACTGGGTTTGAACCCACCACCTCCAGCATATGGGGCCAGCGCCCTACTCCTTTGAGCCACAGGTGCCACCTGATGAAACAGTGATTTTATCTTCACAACTAAAGACACTGAAAAGGAACTGAATTTTCTTTTCTTCTTCTGAGATGGTTTAGGAAAGCCATTTCAGAAATTGTTGAGTAGTAGACACAGTGTCAAAGTCACTTCTTCTTTAATCCTCAACTAGATTACGTCAGCGTTTTTATTGGTGGCCACGTAAAAAAAATCTACTGATACTAAATTGAAAACATCTATTCAAGGTAATCTATATAAAACTTTTGCCTAGAGTCTGTGATAACTTGAGTTTTTTTTTTTTTTTTGAGACAGAGCCTCAAACTGTCCCCCTGAGTAGAGTGCTGTGACATCACAGCTCACAGCAACCTCCAAGTCCTGGGCTCAAGCGAGTCTCCTGCCTCAGTCTCCCAAGGAGCTGGGACCACAGGCGCTCGCCACAATGCCTAGCTATTTTTTGGTTGCAGCCATCATTGTTGTTTGGCGGGCCCAGGCTGGATTTGAACCCGCCACCTTATGTGTATGTGGCTGGCGCCTTAAGCCACTTGAGCCACAGGTGCCAAGCCTGATAACTTGAGTCTTAAGACACTATGAGCAGGAAGGAAAGAAAAGCAGTCCACTGAAATCATTCGGTTCTCTTATACAACAAAGGATATTTCTACCATGGTGACCATCTTTGGTTTCAGTTTGACTATTTCACATAAAATGCCCCCATCTCCGCCTCCTAAAATCAGTACATCTTTGCCAGTGTAATCTTCTTTGCCACTACCCATGATGGCCCGGGTATATGGCAAATCACTCTCTGCCAAATCTAGAAAAGAGAAACAAAGATCCAAACTAGTAACTCTGTGTAAACACACAAAATCCCTGACCTCACCGCACAAGAAAAGTGCTGAAATCTAGCCTAAAATGTAAAATTTTCATTTTCAATCTTTTTTTTTTTTTGGATTGAGGACTTTTCATCAACCCTGATCATCTGACACCTAACACAAATGACACTAGTTTATGGGAAGAAAATCTACTCAAGAAGGTGCTGCTAAATAATTTTTTTTTTAATTACATCTTAACAGACAAAATATGATTTCAAAATGAGAGGGATAAGACTGCCCATGAATTGATAACTACCGATGCTCAGTGGTGCATACATATGGGCTCATCACACTACTCTGTCTACTCAGGTTTGAAATTTTCCGTAACAGTTTTTATTAAATTAGCAATTGCATTTTCTTTTGAAATCCAATCCAAAAACTCATCATTGAGAAAGCAAATTCAAGACAAAGTTTACAAGAAAGCCCAGACAATCCACAAATTAATATGATATAAAGGTACATCTCAAAGAACAACAGAATCAAAGGCAAACTTGGCAAATCCACAGCAGCACTGTTAGGAAAAGGTGGTTACTTGATCAGGGCAAGGATGGAGTACTTACTAACATCCCCACTAAGGATGAGAATGTTTCCAAATTGCTTCGAGTGTAGAATTTTAATGTTCTGATAAGGTGAATCTTCATCATACACCACTTCATCTATGTCATATTCAACTAGGCGTCCATCAGCAGTGGGCCAGTATCTGTCGATGGCCCCTCCTCGAACTATGGGTGGTAATCTGGAAAAAGAGGGGAAACAGGACTGTGCTTTACGAGAACCCTTCCTTACAAAAGGAGCTGGGATGAAGAGTGTACAAAAGAAAGCCAGCTGACTACAGGCAGACTCCTGACAAAGCCTGGACTTTTAGTCCAATCATGGCCACTACCAAATGTCAACCACTATTATACAAAGGAGTTTGTTTTTTTTCTTCTTTCCCCAAAAACCTTTATGGTATACTTTAAATTTTCCCTAATAAAAAGCTGAAGGAGAAAAATGGTCACTGTAGACCTCACACTTCACCAACTATTCCAGCAGGTTGTCTGTCTTTTAAGACCTCCTATATACCACATTGCCATTAGCACAGTCACACAAGTTCACATGGATGTGATATCACTACCTAGTACAGAATCCATCTTCAAGTATCCTCAATTGTCCCAATTATGTCCTTTATAGCTATTGTGCTCTTGAATACAGGTTCATACAGTGAATTTTCCTATTTTTCCTTTTTTACCCTCACGTAACCTAGCACATTCTTTTTTTTCCTGGTATGTTTCACGGCATTGTTATCTCTTAAAAGTCCAAACCAGATGTTGTATTTAAAAACAAACAAAAAACCCTCCTGCAGGTGTACCTGATGGTCTCCTTATGATTAGACACAGGCATAATATCAGAAACACAGGACATATACTTTTGCTGTTACTGGTGATGCTAAGTGTGTGGTCACTTGGTTAAAGTAGTAGTCACTGCATCTCTCCTTTTTTGCAAAGGTACCTTTTTTACCCTTTGAAATTACTAATCAGGCCATAGGGCGGCCCCCTGAAACCAGATAAATGTCCTAATCTCAAAACAAACCTTTACCAGTGGTTTTAGCATCTACAAGATTATTACCTGAACCAATTATTACTAGAGTAGCTGTAAAATAACAATTTTCTGATTCTATTCTTTCATAAATATTATTTTTGACAGGGTGAATGTACCAGAAACTACCAGCAGAGGACACTAAGTGACAAAGGAAGAGAGACCTGGAAAGGGGGTTTGGCAAATCGTAACTAAACACAAAGAAAATGAGAACTCATTGCACACAGAACACAACCTCATGCACGCCATGTGTTCTCAAACACGGTAGCGTTCAACAGTACAACGCCATGATGTACAGCTACAGACACCTCAGATGCTGGGATAAGCTGCCTCTCACTCCTGTGTCTCTTTCCGATCCTCACTCACCTGCTTCCAAGAATACATAGAGTGTGAGCCTGTTATAAGACAAGCTTTCTATAAGGAAACTAACATCTGCAAAGGACACGGACACTGACAAAGCAAACTCCCACCAACTCTCATTTAATCCTAACAACTCCTAACTTAACCAATTCAGCTTTCAGAATGTTAGGCAAAGCGGGGGGGGTGTGTCTCGTAAATTCTAAAATGTGTAACACCAATCAGGATACCCCCCCCCAGAGAACAGGCAAGTAGGATTTGGAGGGTGTTTCTTCTACCCCTAATGGTGCGGAGTAGAGGTGAGTGAACAAGCCAACCACAGCACTGGATGAAGGTGACAGACACAAAGTCACTCACTTTCAGGGGAGGAAGCCCATCCCCTGGTTGACACTGCTATAGGCAATTACTGACAAACTCACTGAAAATAAACAAATGCCTATTCTCAATTCTGTCACCAGTGCATAGGCCCACGGGAAGAGTTCTTACAACACTAGTATAGAAACAAGGATCTTAACAGGATGTATCTTAACAAGATAAATCAATTATCTTGATGAAGTACTTAACCTAGGATAAAGTGCATCTCTTTACCATGACTACCAGGAGACATTTTGGAGCCCTGCAGAACTTGTTTCAACCTTTACTGCTAAAAACTGAAACCGGACTATAGAAAGTCGGGTGAAATGTGTCCTGGGCCTCAGATAACTGCAATTTTCAAGAATTTTTTTTTTTTTAAATAAAACTTATGTGACTTTTCTTGTTCCTTTTCATATGCAAGTAGAATGTGAAAATATATTCAAGTAAACCTCATAGCTTCTTAGTTGAAAATGCAGATTTAATTCATCTGCAAAGGGGAAAAAATTCGGATATTAGTGAGTTATTTGTTAATAATCTGATCTCTTAATAGTGTCAATCCTCAATTAAAAAAAAAAGTATAATCCTTGTCCTTTTGAGGCCAAAAACAAAGCCTACAAGGTATACCCAAATTTCTCATTCTTTTTGCTCTTATTTTAAGAAAACATGTAAAAACTGTGATAAGCAAAAATAAGTCTGCATTTTTTTTTTTTGAGACAGAGCCTCAAGCTGTCCCCCTGGGTAGAGTGCCATGGCACCATAGCTTACAGCAACCTCCAACTCCTGGGCTCAAGTGAGTTTCCTGCCTCAGCCTCCCAAGTAGCTGGGACCACAGGTGCCCGCCACAACGCCCAGCTATTTTTTGGTTGCAACCATCGTCGTTATTTGGCAGTCCTGGGCTAGATTCAAACCCACCACCTTATGTGTATGTGGCTGGCGCCTTAGCCACTTGAGCCACAGTCACCGAGCCTAAGTCTGTATTTTGAACTGAAAATCTAAAGCCTAACTTCTGTCCTACTTAGAAAACTCCTACACCAAAAATAGCCCAAAGAGCCAAGACTTCTCATGAATGCTGAAGCCCATAAGTGTATTTCCCCACTCCTAGAAATAACCTTGATTAAAATCAGACTATATTTTGCTGAGGGCCAATTCATTACCACCTAAGACATCTTCTCACACCCCAAGAAACATTGAGAACACATTAAATTCAAATGGCTCAAGACAAGGAAAACTCTGTGGACAGGAAAATATGAAATGCCCAGAAAGTGGTGTGAATGTGGATGTGTTCTAAAGGATAGGAAAGGAGGTGAGATATGGCTGAGGGCCCCAAAGCTTTAGTAAGGCAGGAGACTCTGGGTGTGCTGACAGATCCTAAGAGAGTGGGCAAGTTCTGCAGTATGTTACCTTCTTTTCATTTTAAGGTTTCTGCTTTTCATTCTACCTATAGGAGGGTAAGTAATTACCTTGTTATCTTATATCTGCCCTAGAGCTTTCCCATGAGCTGAGCAAACTTACCGTACCTAGTCATTAAGTACTACTACACATCCTAGCTCTTGCCAATAAGGACTCTCGCTTCTCAAAAGAGCTATGGAATAGAGAAAACAGTCTATAATGTTAACTTTATGAACAAGGGACAGGCCTCCTATGCCTTACTGCCTAATGAGAGGCCACCACGGTGGGACAAGAGTAAACTTCCTTGCAATGTATCTAACATACTTGTTAGTTCCCATGACATACCAGACCCTATTAATTCAAACAAATGCTAAAATTGCTATTTCTGTCAAAGTTTTTTTTGTTTTGTTTGTTTTGAGATAGAGTCTCACTCTGTCGCCCTGGGGTTGAGTGCCCTGGCATCATCATAGCTCCCAGCAACTTTAAAGTCTTGGGCTCAAGAAATCCTCTTGCCTCAACTTCCCAAACAGCTGAACTACAAGTTCCCGCCACAACACCCAGTTAATTTTTCTATTTTAGGAGAGACGAGGGTCTCAGGCTGATCTTGAACAAGTTTTAGTAGAGACAGGGGTCTCAGGCTGATCTGATCACCTGAGCTCAAGTGATCCACACGCCTCAGTCTCCCAGAGTGCTAGGATTACAAGTGTTAGCCATCGCGACCAGCCTTTTCAAAGTTCTTTTAAAAGTCTGACACCACTGGCAAACACTTCAGGGCTGTCCAACAGAACTTTGACAAGGAAAATGTTTCACATTTATACTGTCCAACATGGCAATCACTAGCCACTAGCTGTTGACATGAAGCTAATGCCACTTAGGAGCTGACTTATTTTAATGAACTTTAAATAGACACACATGGCTAATGCCTACCCCATTAGACAGGGAAATCTTCATTTCTTCATTATCAGTGGAAAATAATCTACCTATGGGCTGGAGTGGTGGCTTGCGCCTGTAATTCTAGCACTCTGGGAGCCTGAGGTGGGTGGATTACCTGAGGTCAGGAATTCGAGATCAGCTTGAACAAGAGCAAGACCCTATTTCTACTAAAAATAGAAAAACTAGCCAGACATAGTGGCAGGTGCCTGTAGTTCCAGCTATTCAGGAGGCTGAGGCAAGAAGATTGCTCAAGAAGAGTTTGAGGTTGCTGTGAGCTATGACGATGTCATGGCACTCTAGCACCCTACTCAGGGAGAGTGAGTGACACTGTCTCAAAAAAGAAAAAAAAGAAAAGAATCTACTCATGGCAGCTTAAAGTAGATGGTCTCTCAAGTTTTTACTTGAAAGCTTTGAAGCAAATTTTAGTACCCTACCCTATCAGAAGTCTCTTAAAATTGCTTAAATCTACTCTGGGGCCCAGAACCCTGAACTGAGACAAGTATCCTTTACTTCTTCCTGAAGGGGGTGGGGGTTGGGAGTTTAAGCTCCTTAAGGCAGTGGCCTTATCTAGGTCTCAGCTTTACACATTTCCAGTTCCTTGAAGTCACTCCCTATCTGTTTTCTGCCTTTGTTTCATTTTATCCAGTATTTTTGTGTTTGCGCGCAAACGGGCACACAAACTTATACATTTTGTCTTGTTTTGGTATGAGGGATTCAGTAGTTCACTTCACTGTGTTGCCAGAAACAGATACTGATTTTGATCTTCCCCATATTTTTAAGCAGACACTACTGGGGATAACACCGCCATTCTGATTATTTCACTGATTAAATAAATATAAGAGGACATTCAAGAGTGAGTGTACTTACCGCTTTACTCGTCCAGTACTGTCCTGACTCAATTCTTTCATTCTTTCTTCAACTTTGTTCAAAAGCTACAATTAAAAGAAATCAGTGGGCTTATAGAATGAGCTGCATGGAACAGCTAAATTACAGACCAGAAGACTGAGGTCATATTAACAGAGCTATGCAGTTTGGACACATATACCTGCCCCACCCCATCCCTACGGCAGCCTCCATGCCTGGCCCAATTCCACCCTCCCACTGTCTCTCATGGTGCTGACCTAACCTTAGTCTCAACAGCAGACTAACAGGGAAGAGAAGTCTAAAGGGTTCTGGGAATGAGTGTTATATATTCTCTCCAGTGCTAAGTAAAATCACTATACATACTCAAGCAGTTAAAGAAGAAAGCTGACAACCAGGCCCCTAAAAACAACTGAGGACAACTACTACTCTTCTAAAACCACTTATCTGGAGGGAAGAGAGTTTAAAATTAAGTTAACTGGGAAGTCAGCAATTAAGAGAAAACAAGTTTAATGTCATCAAGCTAAGTGTATAAACACTTGAGAAAATAGGAACAAGCAACTGACCCTGTCAATTTCTTCTTTGCTCTGTGCATCACTGTCATAACTTTGAAGGTCCAGCAGCACCAATCCATGTGGGTAAATTCTCAAATTGGCAAAGCTACAAAGGAAAGTGTAATTAAAAAAAAAAAAGAAAGAAAAAGAAAGTGTAATTTTAAGGTTAGGAATTGTATCACGGTACTCAAAAAAAATGTTTTTTCTCCATTAAGAGAAAAGACCACTCACTCTTTATTTCTCTAAATTACATAGTTAATCTGTTTGCTTTCTTTTTAGGGCCTCTTTTTTTTTTTTTTTTTTTTTTTTGAGACGGAGCCTCAAGCTATCCCCCCTGGGTAGAGTGCCATGGCATCAAGCTCACAGCAACCTCCAACTCCTGGGCTCAAGCGAGTCTCCTGCCTCCGCCTCCCAAGTAGCTGGGACCACAGGCGCCTGCCACAGCGCCTGGCCATTTTTTGGTTGCAGCCATCATTGTTGTTTGGCGGGCCCGGGCTGGGGATTCAAACCCACCACCCTAGGTGTATGTGGCTGGCGCCTTAGCCTCTTGAGCCACAGGCACCAAGCCAGGGCCTCTTCTTAGGGGAAGAGGCTACCATTCATTTATGAAAGATTTAAAGAGCAGCACCAAATGCTAGGGTTTTCAAAACTGGTTCTTGGACCAAGAAAATGATTTAGTAGCAGTTCTGTAAATCTTATTTTTCACAGCGACTTCAAACTCTTGGGCACAATGTATCCTCTTGCCTCAGCCTCCCAAGTAGCTAGGATATGGGATACTACTGGTGTCTGCCAAAATGCCCGGCTATTTATTAGACACATGGTCTCGCTCTTCCTCAGGCTGGTCTCTCTGTAAACTCCTGAACTCAGGCAATCCACCCACCTCAGCCTCCCAGGGTGCTAGGATTACAGGCCTGAGATAAGCCCTGCCCTGAATCTTACTTTTTTTTTTTTTTAAGTTCCCCAGGGTGATTCTGCCAGGTTTAGTAACCACTGCCTTAAGAGAAAGGGAGGATGGAAAAAGGCAAGCTGGGTTCTCTCAATTAACCTTCAGAGTTAAAACCAGAGCCACTCCCCCCCCCCCACTGCAAAAGCCAGTGGTGGGTAAATTAATTTTGTAGGGGGTGGGGGAGTGGCAAACTCCAGCCCAACAGCCTGCAAATCTAATCCAGCCCACAGCATGTTTTTGTAAAGCCTGCAGGCTAAGACTGGTTTATATTTTCATTTTATTTTTTATTTTTTTTGAAACAGAGTCTCACTATGTCGCCCTCCATAGAGGTTTATATTTTTAAAGCATTACCAAAAAGTGACTTGGGCGGGGCCTGTGGGTCAAAGGAGTAGGGCACTGGTCCCATATGCCACAGGTGGTGGGTTCAAACCCAGCCCCGGCCAAAAACTGCAAAAAAAAAAAACCAAAAAAAAAGGTGACTTTATGCAACTCCTTACAGACAGTCTCTTAACCCCTAATTTAGTGGATCTGATCAGCCCTTTTTTGTGAAATAAATATGCTTGAGTGTATCACATGCAGTAAGATGTGTCTGATACAATTTTTGTTTCAATTATATGCATGTATTTGTATTGCATATAGATAGATGTGTATTTCCAGGGTTATGATATAAAATTACTTTGTATTACATACTGTAAATTGTGGTTAAGGAAACATTTGAAAAATACAAAATTAGACAATGCCTTCTGTTCAGAGAATATAAGTAGTGTGCCTGGATTGAAAAATAAATAAAACTAGTTATTTTTCACCTTTAACCCTTAATGAAATCAAGTTCAGGCCCAGACACCACAAACTCATCTACACCTGAAAAGTGATTAGATAATCTTTCCTTTCCCCCTTTATCACCACCAGCAGCAAAGGAAGAGAGAGACCTAGAGTGAAGGAAGGACAGAGAAATGTTGGTGGCACCTGTGGCTCAGTGAGTAGGGTGCCAGACCCATATACCGAGGGTGGCTGGTTCAAACCCAGCCCCACCAAACTGAAAAAAAAAAAAAAAACAGGGAGAAATGTTATCCCTTAACCACTTGGGTGGCTCTAGCAAGAACATAAGAAAAACAAGAGGTGAAAATAGTGAACCTGAAAAAAGGTGGCTGAGGACCAGGATCGGGCTACTCAGCACCACAAAAGGATCATTAACTGGGAGAAGCCAGGCCATATACAGGCTGTGGAAGATGAATATTCCCCAACGGAGCCCAGGTGAGGTTTCAGGAAAGGCACCTTAAGGATGTGTCCCAGTTGACCAAGTGGAAAAGGAGAAAGACCAGTGTAGGCTTTTTAACTATGTTAATTTACTTTTTTGCTTTCAAAAGCAATTTCCAAGTAGGTATTGCTACTCAAAAACCCCCTTCTGGGAATATTTCTAAGTCCTCTGTACAACTGGAACTGCTGTCCATGGTACAGTGGTAGGCAGGACAGAGCTGCAAGGGCCTTTAGGATTTAGTGAGATATTTAACTACTTAGTCAGCTGGAACTGGAGAAGCAGCCTACTGAGGTGGCAGATGGACCACAGTATAAAGACAATGAGAGATGACAGGGACAGAGATAGACTGACTGCAAGCCTGCAGGAGCCAGTGGCTCTAGGACAGCTGTAGCACTTCTGCTTTCAGAACACTGTCCCCATCAACTGTGACAAAGCACGGTGAAAGATGAGGGGCAGAGGGGACTTTGGTGGTGGCATTGCTTTGGGTCACCCTTAATGAAGAAATAATCATGTTAGATTCATTGGAGGTATCTGCTAAACACACATGGAAGTTGAAATATAAGTCTTGGGCAGCACCTGTGGCTCAGTGAGTAGGGTGCCAGCCCCATATACGGAGGGTAACGGGTTCGAATTCAGTCCCAGCCGAACTGCAACAATAAAAAAATAGCCAGGCATTGTGGTGGGCACCTATAGTCCGAGCTACTCAGGAGGCTGAGGCAAGAGAACCCCCTAAGCCCAAGAGCTGGAGGTTGCTGTGAGTTGTGATGCCACAGCATTCTACTGAGGATGACAAATTTTTTTTAAAAATTAAAAGAAAAAGAAATATAAGTCTGGGTTTCAGGAGGAAGGGATTGGAAAGTCTTTTGACAGGCACCAGGATAGAGAAAGCAGGGTTTCTAGAAGTTTCCCTCAGTTCACAGCACTGTCCTCCAGATCTCTGGAAGATTAGGGAGATGTTTATTTCTTTTTTTTTTTTTAATAGAGAAAGAAAAAAAGGAGAGAAAGTGAGACATTAATAAAATGAAAGCCGGCTCGGCACCCAGTGGTTGGGCGCTGGCCACATGCACCCACATACACCAGATCTGGGGGGTTCAAATCCAGCCCAGGCCTGCTAAACAAGGACGACAACAACAACAACAAATAGCCAGGCATTGTGGTGGGTGCCTGTAGTCCCAGCTACTCGGGAGGCTGAGACAAGAGAATCTCTTAAGCCCAAGAGTTTGAGGTTGCTACGAGCTGTAACACCACAGCACTCTACCGAGGGTGACATAGTGAAACTCTGTCTAAATAAATGAATAAACAAATAACTAAATGAATTGAATTGAATTGAAATGAAAGGCTCAGCACCTATAGCACAGTGGTTACAGCACCAGCCACATACACAGAGGGTGGTGGGTTCAAACCCAGCCCGGGGCCTGCTAAACAACTGCAACTAAAAAAATAAAAAGAAATAGCTGGGCATTGTGGCAGGCAACTGTAAGTCTCAACCTACTTGAGAGGCTGAGGCAAGAGAATTGCTTAAGCCCAGGAATTGGAGGTTGCTATGAGCTGTGGCGCCACAGCACTCTACTGAGGGCAACATAGTAAGACTCTGTCTCAAAAAAAAAAAGAAAAGAAAAATGAAATGAAATGAAAGCCATTGAAAGTATCCAGTTTCACAAATTTTTTTTTTTTTTGAGACAGAGTCTCACTCTGTCGCTTTGGGTACAGAGCCATGGTGTCATAACTCAAAGCAACCTTAAGTCCTGGGCTCAAGTGATCCTCTTGCCTCAGCCTCTCAAGTAGCTGGGACTATAGGCACCCACCACAAGGCTTGACTTATTTTTTTATGTTTAGTAGAGACGGGGGTCTTGCTCTTGCTCAGACTGGTCTCAAAGTCTTAAGCTCAAGCAATCCACTGGCCTGAGCCTCCCAGAGTGCTAGGATTACATGCATGAACCACCGCGCCCAGCCAGTTTCACATTTTCAAATTAACAGTGCCAATTACTAAGAATCCTAATAGTTTGACAAACTAAGCCAGTCTAGACAGAATATAAACCTAGACTTAAGAAACTTCAAAGAGCTCAATGCACTGACATCTTCTGTTATCAGATGTTTCTTGGTTTAGGCTTTCTTTTCTACTCTCAGAACACATCTACTTTCAACTACATATTGACTACAAAAAAATCTGTAGTCTTTGAAGTCTTTTTTTTTAAAACCCAACACTATGGCTCAGCACCCATACCACAGTGGTTACAGCACTGGCCACATACACCAAAGCTGGCAAGTTCAAATCCAGCCAGGGCCAGCTAAACAATGACAACTACAACAAAAATAATAGCCCAGAGTGTGGCAGGCGCCTGTAGTTCCACCTACATGGAGGCTGAGGCAAGAGAATCGCTCAAGCCCAAGAGTTTGAGGTTGCTGTGATGCCATGGCATTCTACCCAGGGCGACATAGTGAGACTTTGTCTCAAAATAAATAAATAAATAAAACCCAACACTAGAACTCACGTATCATCTTAACTTCTTATCAAACTATTTGTGGACTTTATCATCCTGCATTTTACTATGGTCTGCATTAACTGCTAATCATGCAAAACAGTACCACGCAAGGTGGGGTTAGCTGACCAGCAGCAGCATCGCATGGGAGCTTGTTCAAAGTGTGATCCAGAGCCCAGCCCCAACCTTCTGCATCGAAACTGTTAGGGCAGAAGCCAAGTTATCTGTGTCATAACACACTCTGGATTATTGCCTGCCATCTCATACTGTTGATACTGCCAAAAGGTCTTGGTCCTGGACATACAGTAGAATCAATAGGGCTTTGAAGAGATAGAGATGTCTGGGCCTAATCACCTCAATCTCTGGGAGAAATGCTTGGACATGGATATTTTGTGGAAGCTCTCCCAGGAGAAAGAGTCTAATA